GTCGGGTGTAAGTCCGGACACTTCCAACTGAAAAAAAAAAGAAAAAGAAAAAGTACTACCTACTTCAAAAAGATAGTTTTAGTATTCAACACTTGTTGATCAACTAATCAATCAAAATCAGAAAGAATTGTTTATTAAAATCAGGTAATTTGTTAATGGTACTTCTCTTTCGCTCATATGAAATGCTCCTATGTTTATTGATGACATTCGAGTTAACACCTTTATTAATTTATTTGAAAAGATAAAATGTCCACATTCTTTATTAAATTTTGCTAAAGGAATTATATGTGAATACGCATGATCATAATTGTTGCACTTCTTGTATTTAGATACTTTTTTAAATCAATTGTATTTTTTTAAAAATTAATCCCTAACTCTTTCTCTACGTGTGCATAGTTAACTAACCAAACGGTTCTTTATTTCACTCGTTAACATATCTAGTCTATTGGGGAATGAGGAGGTTTTCAATTGGGCTTCAATTGCTGACGTGGCTTCCTTGCATTGGTTGATTGGTGATCGTCCGGCCCGTGGAAATTCCGAATTGATCGTCCGGCCCGTGTTAGAATTGGACGCCTGCTGATTGTTGCATTGGTTTTCTTTCTTTCTGACGTATTCTGCTGAGGATGGGACTAGCGCATGGCTCGATACATCACAATTCACAATTTAGGGTTCTCTTTCTCCCTTGTTCATCGCTGTTCTCCGCCATTCTCCTCTCTCTCTCTCTCTCTCTCTCTAAGACCATCTCTCTCTTTTCTTCTTCATTTTCCTCAACCACCCCAGAGCCCTTCTATCTCTCTTATTCTCCATGACCGGCAACATCAGGACCAAAACATATGGTTGGTATTTTTTTTCTTTCCCTCCCTGATTTTCTCTAGCCTTCTATTTTTCTTTTTAGGTTTAGTTGCCTGATCTAATCTAATTCGTATTTATTTGTGATATTGCAGGTGAAAATTTTGGAATCTCTTCCAGCATTCTTGTGAGACTCTGTAAGATTTTTTTTCCTTTTTTAAAAATTGTGTTCTAAAACACGTGGTTAGTTTTGCTCTTTTTCCCCCTTTCTTTTGCCTGGTATTCTTCCTTCTCTTGCCATATTTGTATCTCAATTTTGCTCTTAGCCAAAAAGTATTAAAAAGGATTTAACAAATTTGAGAAATTTTTTTGGAACTTTTCCCGATCTAATGCCTTTATAAGAAATTTTTCCTGGTTTCTTTTTGTTCTTAATTTACGTTTTTTTTTTTATATTTCAAGTCAAAAGTTTATTCATCTCTGCCGCTTCGTTGCTCTCCAGAGTTCCTCTCCTCTCCCCTTCCATTTTTCTTTTCATTTCTTTGTTCCTTTGTTCCTTTTTGTTGTTTTTTATTTGGTCCTTTTTTCTCTGTTTTTCCTTCCCGTTTCCCCCTTCCCCCCTTTTCCCTTTCTTCTCTTTCCTTTTTTCAATTATATGATTCTAATTGATTTTTTTCCCTTGTTAGAATTGGTCTGGATATGAAGCTACTAAACGCATGAGACACAGAAATCATCTTAATTGGTAAGCTCCAATATTCCCCTAAAGTTTTACAGTTTCTTTTATTTAAAAAAGAAAGACATTTTTCCTGCTAAGATTTGTTAATCTTTCGATTAATAACCCAGAGATCTGAAATACTATTCTTCCATTGATTTAAGCATTGATTTCTCACTCTTTACTTTGATATGATGTGGGGAATTTTGCACCAGTGGTAGAATTTCTCTTGCACATTACTTTTCCTGGAGAAAGTTTTCGTGGTTGAAACTTGTAACAGATTAATGCGAAACAATTTTTCTATGACATACAATTTTTGGACACTGTGGTGACTGACACCTTTGAAAAAATCCACCACATAGGAAGCAATTTCTTAAAGTTAGTAGTTTGGTATTGATGTCAATGAGGCTCCATTGTTGGTAAATAATACATTTATTTGGTTGAAGATGCTCCATTGAATTAGTTGTTATTTTTATTTTGTGACGGCCAAAAGGAGGAAATGGATGAATTGAATTAATATACTAATCTGTTGGTATGTTGTTCTCTTTGAATTGATATGAATAGGAAAATCAGTGATTTGGATGGGAATGACTCGACATATTAAACATACTCAATGTTTCCTCACTTAAACTATGATTTGCATTTCCTCTTCTAAATTTTTGAAAACTTCATACAGTATTTTATAATTGGGGCCATTTTGAACTTATTATGATTATTTTTCACTCCCATGTGAACTGGTTGATATTTTCTTAGTAAGTAAAAAAGGAAAAGAAGAAATAAAAAGGAACAAAAGTCAGCCTTGCAATTGCATTTAATTGGGTTATTGTGCAGTGAACAAGGGCTACAGCTTGTAACATCAAAACCTGGTTTTACGTTTTGCATTGCAGAAAAATTTGGAGAAGAAAAGGACAACTAATTATCATGAACGTTGTTCCCTTAAAAGTTTTCCATTAGCTTGTTCATTATTGGATACTTCAGTAGTCATATTTTGTACTTTGTCCTTTATTATTAGTTTCATCATTGTATTATTTTTTAAAATTATTTATATGGCATTTCAATGTTTTTTAAATCAGTAGAATTCTAGAATCACTGGAAGTTGGTTGAGGTCAAAAAGGAGTTAAGTGGTCATCAATATATCAAAATTCTCATGTTTTTGGTGTTTTAACTTCTTATTCTCAAATTCAATGGTGACATTGGCTTTAAAAATTTACATCTCTTTCTTCTTCTCGAATAATGTATTAAATTATGTGAATAATGTATTTTCTGGTTTGACAAGTGCAAATATAGAAGATCCTTTGTTCTGTCTTTTTGAGAACCATTGATCATTTTCCAAAATGGTAACTCTAATATAATTGGAAAATATTATTGTTTATAATTTTGTTGGTATAGTCATTAAGAAACAAACAGTAAATTAAAGTTTTTATGCCGTCGCTCTTATATCTTTTAACATTCTGTTCCCAGGTAAAACCATTTTTATGGTTTGCATTGTGTTGACATAAAGGGGTATCGAAGACTGCTACTTTTGCTTAACGTTGTTGAATTTTGCATACAAGTTCCGTGAAGGTAAGATGCTCTATCAACTCAGTGTGAAGTCTTGCCGCAAAAGAATTTTTTTTTTATTTTGTAACTGGGTTGGTTTTCCCATATAGGAAAGGTGGTTTAGTATGTTAATAGAACTTTCAAGATTCAATTTGTGGTGAGAAATGGGATTGGCAATAGTTGGAATTTGACAAACTATTGTTCAGTATAGCATTGATTAGGACCTAGCATTTTGTTCGAATATTATGGATTGGGCTGAAATTTGACTATAGTTTCAGTATAGCATTCATTAGGACCTAGCATTTTATTCGAATATTAGTAATCAAAAGAAAATTTTCTAAAAAATTGTTGATTTTGGTATGCGGGGTTAAGTAATTTTTTTACCTTTCTTAAAGTTTGCGTTTTAGATTACGTCAGCTTGAAATGTTTAGAGTCAATTCATTGTAAGTTGACAACATAAAATGATTCACCTCATAATAGTAGGGTGGCCTTCAATATTAAATCTGCAACATTATACTTGTAAGTGGTATACCCTCGTATAATTCACGGGAGTTTCAGCTTTCTATTTGACTGGTTGTTTAAACAGTTAACGTCAACAACTTGTTTGGGGATTACATTTTTATGTTTTATTAGAAATCTGTTTTAATTTGAATTTTTGAATTTCAAGTCATCACATACCCTTGTTCTTATAAAATGATGAAAACCAGTTAGATGACTCCAGTGTACTTGTTTTACAATATTGTCACATTTCAAATTTCCAACTCGCTCCTAACATTCTTTTTATTGATCTTGTTTTAAATAATCACTTGTGATATAGTACTTCTGACAGAATTAACGGCTGAATTTCTAGGATGAAGAGTGCGAAAGTTGATTAACAATTGAGATGACTGCTTTTTCGCTTTTCTCCTATACTGTCATGATCAAGACGCAAGATCAGATCTTTCCAACCACAAACAGTGTGCATTTGACAGTCTGAATTTCTTTTTTTTTGAAAAAAATCTTGCCCCGGTGATGATTAGTAATCATCCAAAATTATACATGTATAAATATATTTATGGGAACATCAACAATTGTCTAGAGATCAATTGGCCTCTTTACTTATTCAATAATTCCTTTCTCATATATTTTTTTCTATGATAGCTTTATTGCTTTCAACTGAATTGTGTTTTTCTCCAATTAGGAAGTGTTTCGCTTCAACAATTTATCACGGTATTAGATGACAACATCCTTAATTTTGTACAATGCAAAGCTATGGTTCCAACATACCAAAGCTGAATTTATGGTTGATTTTGATACATACAAGGTTGTGGCTATAAAGCACGTGCTCCATCTCATACCAATTGTGATTCACTACTGCTTGCATATATGTTTTCAATATTTGGAGATGGTTCGATCACCGTAGGTATAATTGCAATACGACCGATATAATCCCATAGATGCGCAATGATTTGAAAATGCATCAAAACAATTTTTAAAATTATTCTGGAAAATCTCATAATCCAAATGAGGCTTCAGTAATTGCCGGTATTAAGGACAATATAATGTATTGTGTTCTGTTACATACAAATGTTTATCTAATATTCAACTTCATTTATAAATTATTAATAGATTTTGGCACCTACCAACCTTCTGTTTACATTTATCATTTGCATTGCATCTTCTCGAACAACTATAGGTCTCTCTAGGCATCCACAAGTTACACAATCTTTAAGAGTCATGGTCCTATGAGTTCTACATCTCAAGATATAGCTATGTTATTGGGAGAGCTCGCTATATTAAGGATTCAACTCTTATTGAACATATTACACTACTAATCATCATCACTTTCACACCTACTAATCATCACTGCTTTTCCATATTGCACTATTAAACACATTACATTACACATTTTCCAATCTTCTTATTATTTTTCCTCAAATTTTAATTACCCATATACTTATTTAAAACACAATCCCGAATTCATCTTTATTATTTTAATTCATCGGCATTACAATATTTCAAAAATACATTAGGCATTAGTGGGCATAATTCCATTCATCCATCGCGCGATGCGCGATGGATGATCTCCTCCTAGTAGTTCTATAGAAAGGGTTGATTATTGTTGTCAGTTGGGCGACTAAATTGGAGGATTTCTGTTTGATTGATGACAGGAGGCCTGCATCTGGTAAGAGCAAAACTACTCGACCCAATTTTCTCTACAGCCCATAGTCTGAAGGCTGACTCCACAACCAGTAGGCCCAAAATAAATATAAACTCTAGGCCCCACCACCCCAAAAAAAAAAAAAAAACCAAAAATAACTCCTGTTGTTTTTGTTACTCGAGGAGCAGCAATGGCGTCGTGTTTCTCTGCAACGCATCCTTATTATGTTTCATGGACCTCCTCTGCGAAATTCGGACAAAGCTCTAATCTTTCCTACGTTACAAAGTCGTTAGTTTTCAGGTGTAGGAAGCGGACTCAGTGCGCCCTGCAAATTCACTGCCCATTGATGAAGGCTCGTGTGGCCTCTTCTTCCATGGATACCACAGATGCCCATATCGAAGAGAACAGCAGCTTCTCCACGCTACGAGAGCTATGCGAAGGTCACGTGCCTGAGCACGTGATTAACAGGTTAGTTCTCTTTATCGCCTTCTTTATATTTTCTTCAATGTCGGTATCTTCTTTTTTTTTTTTCTGTTTGATTGTGGAATTTAAGGTAATTTGGTTTTGAACTGATACTATTATTTGAAAAGTTTGGAGCTTGAGGTTGAGGACGATGAACAGACTAAGTTATGGGTGTAAATGAGCTTAATCGAATAGAATATCATTGTGTCTTCATGCTTCGTTTAATGTTGTTAACGAGTTTGAAATTGTGTTCGAGCCGAGCTTAAATGAGGGTTTATCGAGTCAAGCTTGAGTTGAACTTAAAGAACTAATGAATGGTAGTTAATTTATCAAATGTTAGTATTAAGAAATTCACCTTTATATTTCACATGTATCATTTTTGTCTGCAAATTGTAGGTGCTGAATAGTAAGACGTTGTTGGGGAAGAAAATGTTTTTTTTTTACTATTTCCTTTTAATTGGTTGACTCTACAAATCTGAGTTTCTGTAATATTGGTTTCCTAGAAATGAAAATTTTATTGCGAAAGGTAGTTTTGGGTGAAGGAAGATATAAACCTGAATGCAGGATGGAAGAAATTGGATATGTTGCACCAACAGAGGTGCAGCAGCAAGCTTTACCGGTGCTTTTTGCTGGACGAGATTGTATACTTCAGGCCCAGGTCAATTTGCTTCTTTAAACGAAAAATTGTGGAAGATAGTTCTGCATTTGCTATGTTGTTCAGACTTTTAATAGTTTGCTCATCATTAAGTGTATTTGAGGAATATCTGGGCAACTTTGTTTGTTGCGTGTTTCATAAGGACTAAGACCATGTTATTAATTGATCATTGGTCATGGTGTCCCTCTAAATGTTGTGGTAGTTCATTTAGTCCATGGAGTTAAATGGATATCTACAGCTGTCATTGCCATCGTTTGTCTTCAGCAAAGTCTTTTTGGTAGGAAATTAGTAAACATGTTCTTTTGTTTAAATTTGTCATTTGCATTGTAGTATTTGATTTATTGCCTTGAACTGCAGGTAGATACTTATCATAATTCAGTTCAAGGTCATGATCTGAAATTATTATCTGCACTGCTGTCAGACAAAACAATTTTTTCCTCTAGGATTGATTTATGTCAGGAAAGGTCTATGCAGAACTTAGCATTGTGTTTTTGCTTATGCTTTGTGACTGCTGGAAAAACTATCAGAGTGTTTCACTCATTCTTTTTTGGCCCTCTAGACAGGCTCCGGAAAAACTCTTGCATACCTGCTGCAGATTTTTTCAGTCATTGATACTCAAAGATTTGGTGTTCAAGCACTGATTGTTCTGCCCACAAGGGAGCTTGGCATGCAAGTAGGCACGCAATTCCCTGATTTCTTGAGTATTCGTGACTAATATACTTATCTAAGAGAATCTTGTGCTCTTGTATTCAAAACTAAGGTTACAGAAGTTACTCGAAAGCTTGCTGCTAAGCCTTCACAGGCTGAACGACAGCAGAAGCCATGCACCGTCATGGCTCTTTTAGATGGGGGAAGGTTGACAAGACATAAGAGGTGGTTAAAGGTACAAAAGTGTTCCAATGGCAATAATGTCAATTCGTATATATTACACTGAGGTTGGGTGGAGCGGGAATGATCATGTGACTGTGCGTATTATAGCCAGGTTGGAATTTTAAACAAATAACTCAGCGCAAAACCTGAAATCTTGAATGATAAATAGATGTTATAGATGGAAACTCAAATTTATGTTTCATTAGGATCACAGTGGAAAGAACAGTTGTCTAGGAATCATACTAATTGTTGGAGCACTAAGGAGGCATTTCATGAAACTTGTCAAGTTCTTCACATTTTTCCTTATCATGTTGCTTTCTATGGTGTGACAAGGAACTGGAATGTAAAGGCAAAGCAACTCAAGCTGATGCAATTAGATTTGATGCTGGATGACACTGTTTTTGTGATATAACACTTACTAAGATGCTTCCACAAATGCAGGCAGAGCCTCCTACTATAGTGATTGCAACTCTGCAGAGTTTGTGTCATATGCTTGAGAAGCAAATTTTTGGGTTAGGTGCCATGCAAGTGCTGGTAATTGATGAGGTAAGTTGGAATAGCTTCATCTTAAAAGTATTCTTGCTCAGTTTAGGACGCCTTGTGTCTTGCAAAGTTAACGACGTATTGACTGTCTAATATTCAAGAACTAATTTAACTCTTTCTTCTTCTTGGCATCTTTTGATATGGTAAAATCAATTAGTGAAGCTCATTTATGTGAATTTTTATGCATATTTAAATTACATTTTATCATTTGTTAGGTTGATTTTATGTTCAATTCCTCAAAACAAGTTGATGCTCTTCGAAGGCTATTGACATCATACTCTTCAAGCAGTAGTCGTCAAACGATTTTTGCCAGTGCATCAGTTCCCCAGCACAAGCGATTTCTGCACGACTGTATACAGCATAAATGGACCAAGGTCTGCATGTGAGAATATGTTATTTGATTTTCATGTTAGCATTTCTTACAATCTATTGCTGATTATGAAATTTAAAGTTAAAATGGCTGAACATTTGATTCTATTCTTGGGTATTGCTTATTAATTTCTATGAGTTGTGAAGATTTGATATTTATGTTAGTGATTATGGCAGGGTGATGTTGTTCATGTCCATGTAAATCCAGTTCAGCCAATGCCATCATGCCTACATCACAGATTTGTGGTAAGACAATTTTTGAATCCAGGAAAGTAACCCCTTATAAGTCTGGCGTTTTGTTGATTTCAACATATTGGCCTCCTCTCTCCCCCCCCCCCCCAAAAACACCATGCTAATAACTAAGAATTTGATTTTCCATTTTAGTTGACTTTTATTTTGCTCATTGGCATACTATTTGATAATGCAAGCTAATTTTCTTTTGCATACTTAAAATTTCTTTCTTGGGGCTTCAGGTATGTGGCGAAAGGGAAAGGCACTCAACGTTGCTATTGTTATTACAATCAGATGCTCCTCAGTCTGCTATAGTGTTTGTTGGAGAGCAAGTCAGTTCTTCATATTCTGTCATGTTCTTTTTTATGTAACTTGACATTCATGTTTACAAAGTAATAGCATATTTGTGTGAATTACTATTACAGAATGTAATCAGCACTGGTTGTTCAGGTCGACAGTTTTGAAGGTGAAACATGTTAAATCGTTCTATTCTTATTGTATTTGTTGGATCTTTCAAGATTAAGTTGGAAATAAGCTTCCTAAGCTTGTCATCATTAGACGTGGTTAGTGTTTACCCAAAATGAAAAAATTTGGTAGCATGTGCAACAGCACCTTAATTACACATCAAATTTTTATGTGTCTTCTTAAACTTATCCAATATCGAATTTGATGGTGTATTAACAAGCCTTTAGTATATTCATACTGTTTATCTTTCAGGGAGTTTATGGCTACTTGTTCTTTGAGTAAATGGCTACCTTTGGTTGTTTCCTAGTGAACCCTAATGCACAAAATCTGGGGATCAAATTTTTAACTAAACTTATTTATCTGAATGAAAAGCAAGTCTTACTACTAAAGCTTGAAATGTTTGTGCATTGTGTACTTAATACCTTATTCTATTTTTCAGTTACTTTACATTATGACTTAAATTTTGCATGTCCAGTTTCTTGTTTAAATCTTTTAATTTTTTCTCCAGTCTGAAAAGTCAAAGAAGGCTGGAAATGCTCCACCAACAACTATCCTATTTGATTTTTTAAAGGCCTCCTTTCTGGGATGCTCCACAATAATTCTTCTGGAGGAAGATATGAATTTTAATCAGCGAGCAGCATCCTTAATAGTAAGTATAGCTTGGTAATTGCATGTATTTCCTCTTTTATGTCCTTAGGTTGCTAATTGGAAAGCAGAACTCTTACATATTCTCGGATGACAGCTTATGCTAAGCCTAATCACTTTCTGGATGCAGGATCTTAGAGGAGGAGGAGACTTTCTTCTGGTTGCAACAGATATAGCATCTAGAGGAGTTGACCTGCCTGAGACAACTCATATTTACAATTTTGATCTGCCAAGAGATGCAGTAAATTACCTTCATCGAGCTGGAAGGGCAGGTAGGAAACCATTTTCAGATGATAAATATTTTGTGACCAACATTATAGCACCAGAAGAGCGATTTGTATTGCAGAGATTCAAAAATGAACTGAAGTTTTTCTGTGAAGAGTTGTTCCTGTAATTGTGTGAATGATTTTTTGGTTTGTGCGTGAGTGAAATCCATTCCAATTGGCTCAATTTGAATAGAATGAATCAAATTTTATTTATTTATTGCTTTTTCTCACTGTCCTATGTCCTAAATTTGTTGTTTTGTCAGTGAAATAGACTATTTGGTGAAATCTGTACTATAAAAAAAATAAATAAATAAACCAAAGTCTTAGTTTGATGTACATTATCAATGGTGGTGGTGGTTTAGCACTTCTAAAATCATTAAGGGCAGAAGGCTTAATTCAGTAGATTAGTTCTAATAAATGTATTTAACCAGCATCAATCCATTTCTTTTCTGAGTTTAATTGAATATTAGTACTATGGACGCTTAAGGAAGTTAAGAGTTTTCTTTTTTCTTTTTTTGGTTGAATAAATTAATAATCTGTGTCTTTTGAGCGCAAAGAGAATATCCATATTCTTGTTTGGCAATGTATGAACAGAATCTTGAAAGCATTGACTATTGAAGGAAAAAGATTGATTTGCACTTCTCAATACCATGAATTCAGCCCTTTGCATTGCTTCTGTGTATTATTTGAAATGGAAAGACTCATATTTCTTGTGTTTTGATCCCATCCTGCTCTACTGCAACAGACAGTTTTTCTTTTCTCAAAGTTGAATGTATTGGTGTTACATCACTAAACCATCTTTAACTGTTGAGTTTTTTAATAAGATTGTAATGCCTGATCTGATATAGAATCCTTCTGAGGATCTGTCAGCCTCTTGTATGCCCTGCAAATCATGCATAAACAGGAAAATTATGAGTATGCCAAGTTTCCCTAAATAGGAATTAGCTTGCCAACAAGGCTTCATGCTTAAAGCCCTTAATCAACAATTTATATTATCACATTTTCATTTTCATTTTCATTTTTTCAAGCAACTAAAAAGATGTTGGGTTAGTTGTATTGACATTTTTAGAAGTAAGAAATGTTATTGTTATCTTCTCAACAAAACTAGCTTTGAGTATTAGCCTGAATGATCCATTAAGGTTGAAATCTTAATTTTAAGATGTTTGAAAGGTGAAAAGTAGATCCTTAGATAAAGATGGAGCAGCATACAGTTGCTTATAAAGAAAATTTTGAGTAAACGTCTAGAGAACGTACCTCTGAATTTTCGATGATGACATTTTTGCCTATTTTGGCATTCTTGTCAATGATGCAGTCTCTGAAAAACACACATAAAATTTTTGGCTTTAGAATTTTGGAAAAAAATGAAAAGAAAATTTGAAGCTAGATAAGGAGCAGGATGGTTTGGGTTATGTATACTTGATTCTTGAATTTTCTCCAATTCCAATAGGGACTCTTCCCTCAGCTAACAGTGAGGCAATTTCAGCATCAGTTTCGTAGTAATCAGCCCCCAGCATCACTGTATCCTGCAAGTAGAAAATTATCAGTTTTCAAGACAAAAATACAGAAATAAAAGCAGTAGTCTACTAAACAACTCTATACATGTATGGAATGGTTTTCTTCAGTATAATTACTGGATACTGCTGTTTCAAGCAAAATCTGAATATTTGGCCTCTTAATAGTGAAAGATGAAGTTGAAAAAGAAATGGGGAAATGAAATTGCTGCAAGTTTCTTGTTTTACGTTAAAAAAGTATACGATCTGACATCTGTAACTATTGATATGGTTTGAGATATACCTTTAAGTGAACGTTGGAATTTATGCGGGACCTCAGACCAACAAGACTGTGTTCCACAAAGCAATTACTCAAGAAACTACCATGTGATATGATTGAGTCAACAATCTGCAGAAAAATATATGATATCCATGAGAAACATTAATGTAGGTCTTTTACAAGGATGACACTGCAGGGAGAATCAATAACCTTGCTGTTTTCTATCTTCGATGGTGGCAAGTTTCTCCTGGATGTATAGATTGGCTTTGTTGCATCATAGAAACTAAATTTTGGTGGCTGAAGAAAGACAGATCAAAAGAATTTTTGTAAGAGTCCACATGAAAGTAATCTAAATGAAATTCTCTTTTTAATAGTCTACTGCATAGTGCAAGACTCAAGGGCCTAAAGTTAATGATCTAGTAATGGTTCATTCAATAATAATATGTTTACCCTGTATTCATGTTTTGAAGCTTTATTTTGTCTGTTTTGCATTAATTCTTATATGAGCAATCATGACTTTATTTATGGACTAATTAATCTGATTCACAAAAACTTTCCTTAATTTTCTGCAATGTAGACTATGTAGACAGATGCATGCTTTTATATCTCCATGTATAGACGAACAGGGTATGTCAATTTACCTATGTATTGTTAATCTCACTACTGACTGCAGCCTAATATTTTAAGAATGAAAGCAGAGGTGAAATGTATTGTCATAGAACTTACATGCTCTGTCAGGGCAAGGTTTGCTTCAAAAAAGGACTTGATTGTTCCAATGTCTTCCCAATAATCATTAAATAAATAAGCCTGCAAAATAATTAAGATAAAAAGGTATGCATTTGTTAGGCTGTGGACTGAAAATGCACGCAGTTATAAACTGATAAATATTTTCCTCTTGAATGAAAGTCCTAGTGCAAGTTGTGTCAAGTTTATTGAATTGTTGTACTCTTTAAAAAACACTTGCTCGGAAAAGAGATAAACAAACTGGAGAAAAATGATACAGGCCTTTATGTAAAATTCTGCTGCTGAAGCAGGGATTATTTCTGATCCAAAGTCATTTGCAGTTGGAAAACGCCATCTGGAGCGACAGAACAAGCAATACTTTAATTTAGTTTTCTCTGTCAAGCTTGAATGGTAACATTCAGAAATATTTACAGTCCCTCTAATCTATTGTTGTATGAATCCCTTTTCTGATAAGTGAGAGAAATAAGTAAAGGTTGTTACCTTAAAAGATTCAGAAGGATTTCCTTTTTGAAGACATAAACTCCCATTGAAGCAATATAAGGTTTCTTCTGAGCCTCATCTTTAGATAGCCCCAAAACTGTGGTGTCTACAGCCTAAAGGATGTATCATTATTGGTTAGGAAATTTTTATGGGCATTTGGCTCTGAGAGACAAGTAAAAGTTTAACTATTACCATTGCCTTCAAGTCATCTCCTTTGGGTTTTTCGCTGAAAAATAGGACCCTGCCTTCGTTGTCAATCTTCATCAACCCAAAATCTGATGCACGTCTATAATAAAAAAAAAATGAAATGAAAAATAAGCTGCTTTATGTGGTTGATAGCCTACAGAGACATGAAGGGTGAATAACAATAATGATAGAACCTGTTCAGGAAGGATATGAATAAGGAATGTGACCATATTCTTAGGTTTTTGCTTATGTGGTACTATAGTCATCTGACTCAAAAGTGCATTGTTAATATGATTGCAATTTAACCCCCTAAACTTGATGTTTTTAGCATTAAACTGAGTTCTTGAAAGATTCATTTATGGCTCTGGGTACAAAATATTATCCTACCTGTCATCTATTGGCAAAGTTGATATAGTGATATCTGCTCCACTTTGTCTGTGATTCTGTGAAAGGGAAAGAATTAATATTTAAGGGGTAATTTATCTTTAAGTAAGCATCCTTAGAGCATAAGCACAGTCTGTCTTCACCTGAACAAAGTCCATGTAGTCCATTCTGTACAGGTGATCACCGGATAGAATCAGTACATCTTCAATCTCCTTGCATCTTTGATCCTGCAGTTGTCAAATGTTCATCACAAATATTAGATTCTGCACTCACATGTCCATTGATAGAACAGTAATTTATGACTTATTGTGTAGTAGTACAATTTTGAAAGTTGATATGCCGATCTTGTTAACTTTCAAATTTGTTTACACGTCATCTGCTCAAGAAAATGGCATCTGGACGTAAATGACCCTATAAGAAACATATATGCTTTATATGGATCGGAAATAGGGAAGCGTTAGAATCTTCCCATGTCCATTGAGTTGGAGTGAAAATTGATCTGTGTCACAGCCAAGCAGTTGAAACCAGTCTAAGCAAACATGAAGCGGGATACCTCAAAAAGCCAGTGGAACTGTCGTACCGCATCTGCTGTACCTAGGAACCAATTTTTACCTGCCTCACCTGGGGTTTGAGTGGCTGCTAAGACCTGTTGTATGGTTTGCAGGGAGCAGCAGATCAATAGCCAAGCTAAATTGAAAAATGGGTATTTGCTAATGACTTTAATTAAAGTTAATATTACAGGTATGACTAAAGTACTTGAAATGGATGCGAAAGGAGGGGAGAACTTTGAGAATGCATACCTCCACATAGCCATCCCCAAGTGTGACACCACTGCCATAGTTGTAAGCCCTTGCAAGATGCCTGTTGAGTGATGCTGAGTTAAATTGGGTAAGAATGTAAACCTTGTTGATACCACTGTTGATACAGTTGCTCATTGGCACATCAATTAGCCGGTATGATCCGCCAATAGGTACCTGGAAATGTGAAGATGTGCAGCTCTTGGGTTAGGGAAGATGTGCGGATTACCAATGTTGATGTAGAAAGCGCTTAGTTTTTAGCTTTGTAGTCATCTATATAGCCCTAAGTTCTGAGAATCTTTTTCTTTTTACTGCAACGACATTTCTATAACCTAATCTATCCTAAGTTTTGAGAATATATGTCCCTGTTTTTGACCATCTTGTCTTAAAGATTCTTATCATCTGTGAAAAGTTGAAAGAAAGTTGATGAGGACAAGGATAGCGTGGCGTACAGCAGGTTTTGCTCGGCGCTTGGTGAGAGGAAAGAGACGGGTACCAGCTCCACCTCCCAGTATAATTGCCCCAACAGTTCTTGGATCCCTTTTCTCCATCTCCAGGTCCCTTAACTGCTTGGAAATTGTAAACTCAGCCAAATTAGAGGAGAATAAATATTTGATCTACAGTCAAGGACGATTTATAAATGTAATGCCCATTCATGTATTATGTTTAAGATAAAATTTGTTCGATTATGCTCTCATGATGATGCTGAAGTAATTTTGAAGAGATGCATAATTCATCATGTACATCCTCAACTTCGAACTTGAAAGACCAAATGCTACGCAACTAAAAGTATCACGTAAAAAATGCGCCCAAGATCTGTTGGCTGTATATTCTTGCAGAGTACATCTTAATTTGATCGAGAAAAAATCATTATTATGAAATTGCCAGTTGACGCAGAAATGAGACGTCTTCTTTTACTGAAAAAGGTTTGTACTCTTGAATTCCCATGTTTTGAGTTGCTTTGGGCTGCATGGACCTCGAACGCTTACCTTAGTGTCACGTACAATATCAGCAGTAAGGGACATGCTTACAGGAGCCCTGGCAATACCATTTTCAAGATGCCTCTGCTGAAGCTTTCTGCAGTTGAGCTTCTCTCCCATAAAATCTCCATTGCAGAACTTAATAATGCTCCAATTCCTTTTCCCAGACAATGCAACAGTGCCATGCAACTGTCCTGCTGGTCGGAAGGCAATCCGGCCATCAATGGCAACAGCCATTTTCACTGTACTCTAGGGGACAACAGGAAATCTGGCTATATATGTATCTATATTTTGGCTTGATGCTGAACTGCAATAGCAGGGAGTTGAGAAGACTGAGACTGCTAATGCATGGCATTGAGGAATTGAACCACATCTATCCAAATTCAATTTCAGCCACGAAAATCTTTTGTTTTCATGTGAACCTTTAAAAGTAGAAAATCCACTTGTTTTACAAAAAGGTCCTCAAAGAGGCTGCTGATTGACATGCTAATGGTTTCTGGCTTTTCGAGATTTTTAGTCCATATTGAACCTCAAACCACATATATTCACTTAGACGACAAAACATGTTTTATTGATCACATTCCACTTGGTTGACTGTTCTTTCCTTTTATCGTCATGTGCAGTTTTATGCCTTCGTAGTTGAAATAGAAGGGCATTGACAAGATTTAGGGAATTATACTCTTATCCTTGTTGAGAATTTTCTAAAACTCTATGAAAAATAACAAAATTAGTTGAGAGCCTCAACCCTGCACACTGCACACTTTCGCATTGGAGAGCCTCAATCGGGTCCTTGAGATATTGGCGGTCAAGCTAATCAAGGGTAATCAGAAGCATCACAAGGGACACTAATTGAATTCTCCCTGTCACAAATTTCTAGTTCTAGCAGATCAATTCTTCATATCCTGCAACCATATCGTGGCTTCTTTGAGCAAATTCGTTAAAAACTCTAGGCCGCAGGTCACTGTCTCAAACTTAACACTATACCAAAATCACCCAAAATTAAAGTCCAAAATCGCCCCTGTGAACTTGCTCTTAAACTGCATGAAAGAGGATGGCAAGTCACTTTCTTCTGCTATGGACAAATCGAAGCTTGTTAAGTTGTCACGAATCAAGATTTTCTGGATTACTCCCTACCAACACCTTGGTTTCCATTTTTCCTTTGTTGGTTTGGAGTAAAAAAGTAAACAAGCTGATAATCAGAAGTAGAATGTTGACAATTACCATCAAATCTAGAATAAGGTTACCATATAAGATTCTACAAATTAAGACAGGATTAATGGGTGGTCTAGCAAAAAGTTATTTTGGGATTTTGATAAGAAGTTATGTAATAGTCTAGACAAGACGATCTAACCAATTAATTAGGACGACACATAATAAACATTTGAATACTAATTACAATATAATAAACATTTGTACATGTTACAATTAAAAAGTGTACATTTCTGCCTATATAATGTAGAGTAGCCAGAGATGGACATTAGAGACCTTCCTGCTGTCAAGAATCTTAAATCTAGCAGATGGGGATGAGATGGGGTGGGAGAGTTCCCAGAGAAGAGAAAAAAAAAACTCAAAAAAAAAAAAAACAAAAATTAAATATCTTTTGTTCTTTTTTCTTTGGGTTAATTACATTTACCTCCCCTGAGGTTTGACCAAATAACGAATCGATCCCTGAGATTTGACCAAATAACAAAAAGGTCCCTCAACCGTTAGTCTTTGCCGTTGACTGTTAGGGTTAATTACATTTACCCCCCCTGAGATTTGACCAAATAATGAATCGATCCCTAAAATTTGACCAAATAACAGATTCCTCCCCCACACTAACTTCTGTCACTTATATGTAACGGAAATAGCCAAAAGTCTGAATAACCCTTATTGATTTCCATCAAATTTTTGACCTATCGATTTTTGTGTTTTCAGAAAAAAATTTTGGTTAACAGATAAAATTTTGAATCCAACAAATTATTAATTTATTTAACAGATAAAATCAGAGTAAATTTTGATAGACCTTGTAATGCAAAATTTGCCATACACGTATTTTGTAATTTGGTGAAATAGTGTGACAAATTTTGGATTACATGGGGTAATACCCATTATCCCATAAAATACCAGTGCTTTACGACGTTTCCCAATTATATGAACAAAGTACCTATTTTTTCAAAAAATAATTTATTTAAAAGATAAAGTAAATTTAAAATTTCTAGCGAATAAGAGGGTTGAAAATGTAGTACGCATTTTTTCTTTCCATAATGTACCAGCTCCTTATACTTTTCCTATATTATATAAATGAAGTACCAGATTTCTATTGATATTTTACTCTATTTATTAGTAACCCATTGTAAAACCAAACTAGCAGAAGGCTTTTCTACACAAAACACTTTGTCATGGCCGATTAAGTAGTCAAAGGATATTTGAGAATCCGGTAATGGTCTCATTTTTGAAAATCATGTCCGTCTCATTTTTGTGGTGGATTGAGTGAACCTTTACATTGCTTCTATAAATTTTCTTTCATCGCTCAATTGTCGGTTTCCTTTTTTCACTCTACTTTTTTTTTTCCATTCCTTTCTTTGCTTTTCACATTTTAATTTCTTTTTTGTTTTCTAAGCTTTTCTTCTTTCTTCATTTTCTTTCTTTTGTTCCTTTATGCGCATATTTTATCAAGTTTGATTATTACATGCTTGGTTTTTTTCTTTTATACTGGTTAAAAACTGTTTTATTTAAGTAATAAACTCTTAGTTTAATTCGTTATTATTGAAACCACCTTCGATTTTTTAACGGTAAGTTTTCTCTAATTACAAGTTTTACAAAGAAGGTAAATATGATATTTCATTACTTCTATTTAAGTGTCTTTGACGAGATTACTTAAAAAGGAGGTACATGTAATATTACCACACCACAGGGATTTAAAAGTAGTTTGGTCAAATCACAAGGGAGATAGATGTAATTAATCCTTAAAAATTTGATGGAAATCAATAAGGGTTATTTAGATTTTTGGCTATTTCTGTTACATATAAGTGACAGAAGTTAGTGTGGGGGAGGAATCTGTTATTTGGTCAAATTTTAGGGATCGATTCGTTATTTGATCAAATCTCAAGGGGGTAAATGTAATTAACCCTAACAGTCAACGGCAAAGACTAACGGTTGAGGGACCTTTTTGTTATTTGGTCAAATCTCAGGGATCGATTCGTTATTTGGTCAAACCTCAGGGGAGGTAAATGTAATTAACCCTTTTTCTTTTCTGTTTTTGCGCTTTTGAGGTTCAAGTCAATGACCAGAATCCGAAAACGAAATTCCACCAACACGACATCGTAACTTGAGATGCCTGTTGCCGCTTTCCAGGTCACTTCACATTTATAAATGCTCAGTCCTTCCTTCCCCTCTTGAAACGTCGAGTTTACTTCATTTCAATTTGATTCAACAACAATGACGTCTCTTGCACGTTACCTACTTCTCCCTCTGCTTCTCAACTTCGTCCTCTTCATCAGCCACACTGTCAAATGTGCCGGTAATTGTTAATTTACTAGCAGTAGCCTTCTGCAATGTACAATTTCATGCTCTTTTGGATTCTTGATAATGCGTTAATCTAATAAAATGATGCTCATTTGGTGGTTTGTTATGCTAAATGTGCATTTTTGCTACATGGGTTCTTTTTATTATTGTTCATTTGGTGCTCAGGATGATCAAGAACCAATTTGAGATTAAAGATCTGATCTTTATGCAATGTACAAGTTTATTGCTTTATTCGGTTGTTCATAATGCTTTAATTTAGTGATAAGATGCTCATTATTGTGGTTTGTGATAATTAATATTCATTTTTGGTATGTTGTTCCCTTGAAGCTCAGAATGATCATTGATCAGTTTTGAGTTAATATGCATCTTAAGTCCATTTTGAGATTAAAGATCTGATTTCTTTTCGACGACTATGAATGCTTCAGCTAGGTCTGAAGTTTAGTTGATCTGGACCAGCTGTTTTCTTCATTTTCTTGCAGTCTCGTTAAAGTTGTTTATTGGGATTCTTGGTTTTATCACATCCTAAACCGATGCAAATATTGTCCGGTTGAGCTGAAGGGATTTTGGATAAATGGGTTGTGTTGATATTGTTTGCCAGAAGCTGTTGGCTGCTCATAATTTTATGTATTGGTTTTCGGATTAAAGATCTGATCTTTACCTCTTCAATGGTAAGATAGTGATGTCGACTTTGGAGGTTGACATTTATAGTGTACAACATAGCCTTTTCAATCTTTTTGAGTTTGCATTGATCTTTCATCATTAAGTCTCAAAATTCTTTATCTTAATCCATTGTCGTTTACTGGCAGAATGCTCTGAATCCGCTAGCCTTGTGCATTTTTTTCCCTTCATACCTCTACCATGCTTCAGTAAATTTCGTCCTTGATGAGCTGATGTATGCAAAGATTGAATCCAGATGTGGTTGCTTATGGTGGCGGTGGTGGTGTTGTTTCTATTTAATGATTTGATGATCTTTAGCTCGGTGATCTTTATTACATATCTAAGGTGCTTAAGCAATTGAAGCTCTCTAGATTTTCCAGATGCAGTCAATTTTAATATAACTTGTATGACCGATTAAAACTAACCTATGTATCTTGACCAGAAGTTGTACAACTCCTACTTCTTGATATTCTTTAGCACATCCCAAGACATGTTGCCGCTCTTGCCATGCTAAAAAATTAGCTCCAAATCATATTAATTTGTGCTTAGAGCTATTTCATTCTATCAGTTTTATTTCCTTTTTAAGATTCTAGAAGAGGAGAAGAATGAAATTCTTGAAATTTATATGTGTATAATTGCTTGACTTTCATGTTTCTACAATTTGCACTGTTGTATTTCTGTTAAGATCTGTCCTGCTATGAGCCTCATACTCCACCATCATCTCTCGTGTGATTAACAAGCATGAAGCCATTTTATTTTTGTTCCCAAAAATTAATTAAGGACATGATTATTGTTAATGTGCAGATGAGGAACAGAATCTTCTGCAGCAAATTAACAGTTACAGAGCATCCTTAAATTTGACAGCTCTAAAAGAGAATGACAAAGCAAAGTGCCTTGCTGATGGAATGGCAGATAATTTCAAGGATCAACCCTGTACAAACACCACAGGCGCCAATACTGTTCCGGGCACCGAATCACAGTTCTCTGACTATCCCAACATTCTAGCTAAATGCCATTTGAATGTCACCACCACAAGGGATGGGGCCATAATGCCTGCCTGTGTTCCCAATCTTGATCCTACTATTGTTCTTGCCAATTTCACGGATACACAGTACGCAAACAACCTTAACGACACCAAATTTACTGGAGTTGGAATCGGTTCCAAAAATGACTGGATAGTTGTTGTTTTGACAACAGACACGCCAGAGGGAAGCTATGTGACTGCTGATAATAATTCACCCAATTTTGCAATGAAGCCAGGTCCAGTATACTATACATTATTTTTGTGCGTGGCTTTCTTGCTGTTGATGTGAAAGCATCACTGCTTATGTATTATACACTGTTTCATGCTGAGACATTTTTCGCTGAGGCTATTATTAATGTATACCTACTCAACGCTTGTAGATTGACTAATTCATTGATCCACTAAAAGAAAGAATATTGCAGTTACCATTTTTTTTTTAATCTCAGCTGAACCCTTGTGGTTGCCTGATTTTGATGTCATTCTTGTGTTATCTATCTAGTGCTGTTTAGCTAGAGTTAGTACTGGGCCTCTTGTTAATGCTGTGAAAATTGAAGCACTTTCCATCTACAATAGGAATTGATATTGGGATTTTTTTCTCCAGTTTATCTAATAACCTGATCCTTATTCCGACTATGGTTTGCCAGAAAAATCGAGTGCGTATTGAATTTCATACGCAGGAAAGCCTAATTGAATTAACTAAGAACGGAAGACAGGATTCGAACAGTTTGCAAGAACATAGGAAGTCAATCATTTACTCTAGTGTTATGACAAAAGAAGAAAGGCATCAACGACCACCCCACCCAACAAAAGAAGAAGGTGACAAGAAATGATACAAGGGGAAAAGTCATGTTTCAGGACAGTTTCACTTTGACTACAACACTCTTCCTCTTCCTCTAAATTTCATTACACATGCTTATAAGCTGTATTAGGTAAAAGGACCCATGCTCTTCAAGGGACCTGAGTACACAATTGCTACACGGTGTTGATCTCAAGAGCTCTTTAACCTGGTCTTGGTCCTGGTTATCAATAGATACCTCCTAATTGCGAGCAATACAACCCATGTAGCCTTTGAGATCTTCTCCTTCACCATCAAATGCAATGCTGAGCTTAGTACAGTCTTCAGGATCTGGGCCTGTAACCCTTTGAAAAAACCAAATAGACCTTCCCGTTTCCAAATGGTATATAATGCACCTGATATTGTTTTACGAGCTTTTAATTGAGCTTCATTCTTCACATCATCCTCCGATTCAGCAGACTGAATTGTCACCTTACACCTGTTTAAGCCAAATTGGAAAAAACAACGAAAAGATCTACATCAAAGAATGCTCATTTCAGAGACCAAGGCAATACAGTTATTCCCCAGGTTTCTAGTACGGAGTACGTTAATAAATTTTGTTGTAAGATATTTAACTGGGTATCATTTTCATAAGGTATGTCAGTAAAATTCTCTTGTACATCCCGAATACCAAATTTAACAAAGTAATGATTGATTACCATGAAAAAACATATGATTACCTAATTGCTGGGTAGGTTACACAGGTAGCAATACATTTTGAGACAGCACCTAACACAAAAGCAGAAAGAGCAGAAAGAGATTCTGGAGATGATTCACTGTCTCTCTTCTTTCTCATTTTTCCCTTCAGCATTCTTTGTTTTAATTGATCAAATACAGTGTACTGCAAAAGAGCACAATTCCAGTTATAAACTTTCTTCAAAATTCACAGGTAAAAGACATCTAACAGCGAGTTGAAACCCCAATCTAAAGGTCTTGAGGTTTTTTCAACTCATAGGCAGAACCATCAGATCAAGACGTTGTTTGGTGATGAACAGTAGGGTGGGAATGGCCAAAAAGTAGGAGAATGACTAGTGAAGTTCGGAAATTAAAAGCTGAAACACCTGCTCTGTTTTTACCCCATCCAGATGCTAAGGATGAGGTGTACTGGATGGCTAGTGCATCAGGAAAATACATTGTGCAGTCTGCTATGAAACTACTTCAAAATCCTGGAGCTCGTGTTATTTGATATCAATTAGTATGGGGGAAGGGCTATGTGCCATGTTACTTTGTCATTGTCTGGTTGCTTTGTCGGAAGAGATTGACTACTAAGGATAGGATGAAGGCCTGGGGTATAAACATGGCATCTGATGCGTGTGACTTGTGTAAAGGTTCTCTGGAAACAATGGATCACTTGTTTTTTGAGTGCCCGGTTTCTAGAATAGTGTGGCAGAAACTGATAAAGCTATGCCTGGTTCAGAGAGCACCATTTCCATGGCAACAAGAGCTGCAATGAGTGTGTTCTCACTGGAAGTCCAACTCTTTTCCTGATCAGGTGCGGAGACTTGCTCTTGCTGTTACAGTATACTACTTGTGGAAAGCACGGAACCAGAGTATATTCCAAAAAACTCCTGAAGATGCTACTAGACTTGTACATAATATTTTGGAGGTTATGAAGAGTACAATTGCTGGATGGAAGAAAATCCCACAAAACAAAGAAAACTGGGAGTTAGTGATGGAACTTGAACTTTCTCAAAGTTGCTTTAGATGAATTCTTTGTATAAGCATAGAGCATTTTTATGATATATCTGAATTTAATTCCTTTGTACACTCTCTTTTCTGATCAATAGAAGGATGAAAGTTTAAATGAAAAAAAAAAAAGAACTTTTCTCACTGTGTCTGTATTTTCCCAACTACGGGAAAAAAATGAGGAATAATATAAGTGAATTATTTGAAGTTATTTAACTACATTTTTCTGGAAGATTCATATTCAGCAGCAATATCCATGTACCTGAATAGATGGATTAGCAGTAAGAAGGAGAGATATGCCTAGACCATCATATGCCTCATCCCAGGATCCCTCTGAAAGGATATTCCGCAGACCTTTAGATTTCCCAAAATCACTTGTCTGCATTTTTGATGATGCTGTATCTAGTGGCTGAAATGTTGGTTCATAATTAGAACAGACAAAGAATAGCAATTAAGTAAAACTGCTATATCCTATAAAAAGTTCCACAGATATTTGTATAATCAATATTTGCAGAATTATTTTTATATGGAGTTTCTCAAATGGACATTCCCCAGCAAAACTTTCTATAGTTAAAAATTAGCATATCCCCAAATCACAGGCCCTTAAAATGATGTACAACCCTAGCTAGTCCTTTTGAAGAGAATCTTTTTCTTGGTGGTGTATTTCCCAGTTGCCATCCCTTGTTCAAATTGAACGCAGAGTAATGCAATACAACTATACATGAACTTTTCTTTGCAATAGCACTTTCTAACAGCCATGCATCAGTTAATGAACTTTTCTAAGCAATGGCACTGTTAGCAAAGATTTGACAATGCAAATGGTGCATATGAACATATCCAAAATCTACAAGAACTCACAACTATCTCCAATACTGCAAACCAGCAATTACAAAAATTGACTTACATGAACCACTACAACTGTACATGCACCAGCAGCAGCAGCAATGATCAAGTTTGCTTTCATTCCAATGGATTTAGATCCACTCTTCTCCAAGTACAGTCTCTTTAAGAAACTATATCCATAAAAGTACAGAAACTGCGAGATAAAAGATTGTACATTCTTGGTCCCGAGACCCTGATACAGTGAAAGGATCTGACGAGTTGAAATTGCTTCCCAAAGAACATCCAAAATGTTCCTGCAAAAGAACAGAGCAATTAAACTTTACTTCTTCCTATTTTCCGTTCATTTTCCTTCCTATTTCTTGGAAGCAGGGGTTAGGAATATCAGAATATCAGAAACTTTACTTCTTCATTTCTCGTGCAGATTTTGTACGGGAAAGATCCAACTGATATCCTCTCTGAATTTATGTGTTCTACCAAGTCAAACTAGAGAGATGCAAGCCACCATGGAAAACGACCTAATATTAACATCTAGCTATGCAGAAGTTCAATTCATAAAGAGGACAAGCCCAGTGTGAAAGTTTCAGAGTTAGTCGGTCAAGGAAGGTTAGGTATCTGTAGCAGCCTCACTCTTGCAGAGGACATTATTGTTTCCAGCAATTCATGTAAAACATTTACAACTTCAATTAAATAACAATGTCACAGCATATTTCCCATCTGCACATGCCACATTTCAATAAGCATATACATACATTCTCTACAGGCTACAGCTATTTCTCACATTCTTCACTTGTGTGCATACACATCTCACAGTTCATGCAGCAATCATAATTCAACCAGCCTGATTCCTATATGAAAGAGTATACACAGTACCCACAGACAAACTCACACACATGGCTAATTTTGGGCTTATCCCAATTTTAGCTGCATCCGTCTCTAGCCATTTATTAGTACATGGTAATCCACAAAACAGCATGATTCATCAGAAGGGTCTTTCATACTAGAATAGGAAAAAGATCACGCTTTTACACGTGGTAATCAGCAAAGAATTATAATTCATGAAAAGGGTCTCTCATTCGTAATAGAAAAAGATCAAATTTTTACAGTTAAAGCTAAAATGGAAAAACCAAACATAACAAAAAAGATATCCATATCAACAGGTGGGACCCGGAAAACTCAAACATGAGAGCAAAAATCCAAAGATTCAAAAGAAGTAAAGAACCTATATTTTTGCTGATGGTGAGCTCGAACTTCAGCCTGATACTTGGACTTGCAGGTGTCTAAAGGATACAAAATAGTTGTACTTACTAGCGCTCCAACCGCCCCAGAAGTTGCCTCTGATAATGATTCCAAATTTAAAGCCATAATTTATTAAAGACTAGAAAAGATTGCTGAAAAAGAATCAAGCTTTCTTTCCAGAAAATATATATGAAGAGATCCAGGAAGTGGATTCTTTGAGGCCTGAATGTGGAGCTGAGTGCTGGAGAGGAAGATGGAGGAGAGTGACGTGTGTTGATGCCATACGGTCAGATGACATGGCGATATTAGAAGGCATATTGGGAAGCGGAAACGTAAGCCGAATTCTATTTTATTTACTAGTAGCGTATACAAAAGTTTTTTACATTTTTTTTGTCAAATTAGTTGTCTATAAATTATAAATAAGTAGTATCTTTACAAATTTTTTGTTTGTGATTCAATAAATTGTTTTAAATATTCATAATTATTGTAAATGAGATTCGTCATAAATTTTGTTTCTTAGTTTAAATTTATTTTTTTGGATGGGTCATTATTTGATTAAGAAAATTCACGTTTTTTAATTATTTTTTTGTCTTTCGAATTGCTTTTTTATTTTACATATACAGTATTAAAAAATACTATTAAATTTTTAAATAACTTTGTCGAAAGAGCTGGTAACTGACAAGAAATCATTTTTTGCGGTTATAGCTAATCAAGTCAGACGAAAACTTTCACTTAGTTTCACCAATAAGACGGTTTTTGATAATTTAACCAAATCCTGACAATGAGTACATTGGTTGAATTTCTCTTAGCAAATGAGAATGTATAACACCAAAAAGATGTACACAAAAAATTGATGTCGTCAATAATAATACTAAGATGGATGATACCATCAGGTCTTTTTAGTTCATTAAGGGAGGCAAGAGGCCTTGCTTGATAGACAAGTGTTTTGCCAAGTTTGTTTATTATAAGTTTTTTAAAAATTTTAGTTACACTAATTTCAAAAAACTTCTTAAAGTTTTTAAACTATACACTTTAAAATATTAAAAAAAACATACTTTAAACATTTTTTTAAAAACTTCTACAGTAAGTTACAGTAAAATTTTAGACAAATACCCAAAAAAAAACTCACTTGTCAAATGGAGCCCTAGTTTGGTGGCAAGCAAGGGGAGATCAAATATGGAAACTATTGAACAAAGCAGTATAAGTAAGAGATGTTGAAATTTTAATTTGCACTTCTCATTTCGTATCATCTAACTCATCCCTTCTCCTAGTATTTTTCATTTTAGACGAGTGTTCATACCTATGGTTCAATTTCACTTCTCAATTCTCACTTGAAGGTAAGACATAGGTCGAACGTTATGCTGTTTACACTTAACTTTATTATAATGATTTTAATTGTAGCTTTGTTTGGCTTAGTTTGGGAGCAGAGATTTGAAGAGAAATATAAGAGAAACCCCTGTTAGGGAAGTTTAAGTGAGAAGACAAAAAAAAAGAGATGGAAACAAATGGAAGACTAGATTAATTAGTTTTGCTTGCCTTCAAAAATGGAAGGAAACTTCAATTAAAGTACGAACTTCAAAATGTTCAATAATTACATATTAATACACAACGAGGCCAAAATCATTCATGTTAGTGCATAAATTCCAAATCAATATCCAAAGAAACCGTGCCCCTTCTCTTCTTTTCTTTCTCTCATAACTTGTCATTTCTTTTTTTTTTATTGGCTAATATATCATTGAATTCATGTTAATTATCCAATTCTATATCGTACATAGTTTATTTAAATTGAATTTGAATGGCTAAGAAACATTTTAACTAGTATAAAGTTCACATAAGTTTTTTAAAAAAATTCAAGTGAAACATCGACTTCAATCTCATTCCCAGTTTAAACCAAAAAAAAAAAGTAACAAATAAACCCAAGAAGTGGTCAAAATCTTAGAACAGTTTGTGTAAAGGGATAATTGCAGAAACCTCCCCTGACTTTTATAGTAATAGCATTGACCTCTCCTATCAATTTTGAAATAGCACTGACCTCCCCTATCAAAAGTTGGAGGCAATTTAATAAGCAAATGTGGGTCAATTTACTAAAGTACCCCTGACATGATTTAATTTTACCAAATGAATGTGATGAGTACTTTTATCAAACCCAACAAAACATTTATTAATAAAAATTACACTAAATTAACTATTTCTGCATAGTTTAACTAAATAACTAAATAACTAATAATCTAATTAATTAATAACTAATAATCTAATTAACTATTAACTAATTAACTAATTATCTAATTGTTAATAGTTATTAACTAATCAAACTATTTCTGCATAGTTAAACTAATTAACTATTAACTAATTATCTAATTAACTATTAACTAATTAACTAATTATCTAATTAATTAATTAACTAATTTCTATTTATCTAATTAACTAATTAACTAATTATCTAATTAACTAAAGCCGTTGTCTGTCCGAAACTAACAAACTATTTGCATGTTAAACTAATTAACTAATTAACTGCTTAACTAATTAACAACCTAATTATCTAATTAATTAATTAACTAATTAACTAATTATCTAATTAACTTAAGTTGTTGTCTATCCGAAACTAACAAACTATTTGCATGTTAAACTAATTAACTGCTAACTAATTAAGTAACTAATTATCTAATTAATTAATTAACTAATTAACTAATTTCTGTTTATCTAATTAACTAATTAACTAATTAACTAAAACTGTTGTCTATCCGAAACTAACAAACTATTTGCATGTTAAACTAATTAACTAATTAACTAACTAACTAATTAACAAACTATTTACATGTTAAACTATATGCAGTACGCATTATCTATTTAAAGTATCGGTTCTTTATGGATATTTTACTTTCAAACATTTAATTTATGGCCCTATACCCCTCCCTTTTTGTAAGAATATTACTGTAACACTTTTTGAATTTTACTTACAAACATTGATGTTTTTATCATAAATTAAATGTTTGAAAGTAAAATACCTATAAAAAGCCGATACTTTAAATAGGTAATGCGTACTGCATATAGTTTAACATGCAAATAGTTTGTTAATCAGTTAGTTAGTTAATTAGTTAAACAGTTAATTAGTTAATTAGTTTAACATGCAAA